TTGGTATAGGCCCCACCCCATCCATGATGATTAGGACTGCTTCTCGCTTTTCGAGGGAAAAATCTGGTGGAGGATATGCCCCAAATGCAAGGATGGCACAATTGGAACAAGAGAATATGACTCAAAAAGAAACAATTTCCACCTTACAGCAAAAGTCGGATCGGATGTAAAGTCAAATTGAAGAGTTGTATGAGTTCATGAGGAGTGTCAATGATTGAATCCACCCCCTAGTGATCATGGGCAATGACTATCCTAGGGTGCTATTAAAATCATGTTTGTATGATTTGAATATTTTACAATTGAAATTTGTGACTCTTGTTATGGTGAATTTGATTAATATATTTGTTAAAACTTGTGTATTTTTGTTATGTGTGGTTAATATTATGGTGGACTTGTTTTCATATATGTGTACTTATATTAATATATTTTAATTTTTATACTGTATTTAAATAATTTAGAATAAAATGAATAAAAATAATTAAGAAAAATATAAAAGCAAATTAAGAAATGCATTTAGTTGGATCTGTTTTTTTTTTTTTTAAAAAAAAGCCTCCTATGGTGTGTTTTTTGGGGGCTTTTTTTTTTTTGCAGAAAACACCTCCTATGAGGGCATTTATATGCAAATGCCTGTAAACACTGCTAGAGGAGGTATTTCAAAGAAACGCCTCCTTTGGAAGCATTTGTTACACAATTTTGCTTATAAATATCGTTGCTCTCTTTCTATAATTTTATGCTCAAGTGTCTCTACATGCTCTCATCTTTCTCTTCTCCACCCAAAATCATTTCGAGGTTGCTAAATATTTAGTAGAACCTTTGTCTACAAATCATCAATATCATCGTGCAATATTAGCTGCGATATTAGCTTCTTCATCTTCATGTTCTTAATAGTTAACATTTCTAATTTTATCATCATGTTGACATTAGTGATTGTTTTTTATTATTTGTTAACAAAATATTTTATTACTTATAAAAAATAAAATAAACTTATGACATTGAAAAAGAATTAAAGGATTTTATTGAAAATTAAATTCAAATATTAAATTTATATGTTGAAAATTGTAAACATAAAATTAAGAAAATTTTAAAAAATGTTTATTTGTAATTGGTTAAGGAACGAGTTCATCAGTAAGGCCTCCGTGGGAGGCTTTTGTGACACAACAAATGCCCCTAGAGGAGGCGTTTTCTAAAAATGCCCCTTTATGTTGCAAATGTCACAAATGCCCCTTGACATTTGTATTGTCAAACGCCCATTGTAAATGCCCTCCTAGGAGGCATTTGTGAAGAAGAACACCTTTAATAACCCCTTGCCTCTGTAACTGCTTTAGTGGTGTTTCTTAGTAAGAAATGCCCAAAACACCCCTTGAGGAGGCTTTTTTTTTTTTTTTTGGTTTTTCCAACGTTTTTATAAAACACCACCAAATTAGTGGCAGCACCTATTTTTGCGGTGTTTTTAGAAAACACTGGAAATACCTTTAGGGTCATTTTGAAACGCTGCTAAAGTAGAAAAAAATGCCCCAGAATCAACTTTTTGTGTGTGTAGTGGTTCCTAACAATCATATTCACCCAACACTATAAATAAAATTTCATTTAAATTAGCGAGTAATGAATTTAGTGTGCATTAACTGATTTTTACCTACATGCATTCATTTCTTGTAAAAGGCTCTCAATTCTAATTTATAAGTTTTCATTATATTTTATCTACTATTTTAAAGAGTTTTAAAGCTTATTTTACTCAATATCTTATATTGAGTGAACTTAAGGAAAATGTTTTTCTTAAGTGGGTTTACATCTTTAAAAGTTTTGTAAGGGGATTTGTAAAAGTTCCAGATCATGAGTCTTGGTTTTGTACTAGAATTGGAAGCATCTAGTTAAGCTGGTGTATTCAAGTGAGCTCTCACATATAATTTTGAAGATTTGTCACAAGTCATGTGGATTGGCTAAATTAGTATAAATTTTTGTGTCTTACTTTTTTCTTGTATGTTTCATTTGGATTAAACTCTCTCCATCTACTGTATTTTATTAAAAAAGTATTTTTCTTGTTTCATAGAGAAAAATATTTTAAAAAATTTGAAAACACATAATTCTGTCCTTTAATTAGGTGCCAGCTTATTTAACACTACAGTTGATTAACTTTGAAGTATCCAACCCCACTGACATATTATATATATCATTTAGCTTGCTTTTGGGCGAAAAGTGACTTTCATTAAAAGTTCAATGGTACTACTATAATAATATTCAACTAACTAGATATATTAAACATTAAACATTAATAAACTATAAATATAAATATTTTATTATCAGGGCTTCCAACTACGAATTATATAATATTGGGGCAGGTGCTGTAGTCTTCATATCTTGTGGAAGAGGTGGAGGGGATCGAGGGGAAGGCCTGACGCCTGGTCACACTATACAGCTAATTATTCATTAATTGAGAAAATTATTTTTAAGTATTCGTCTAAAATTCTAATAATTTATTTTTCCATTTTTAATATGAATTATTTTTAGTTAACTATCTCATACTCCCTGTAGTTTAAAATATGAACCATTTTTTCTATTTAACGTTGATCCAAAATATAAACATTAACTATTTTATTTTATCCATTATATTTATTAACCCGAATTCTTGTATTTACTATGAATTTATGACCTTATTTTCACTTATCAAAAATTGGAATTATGAATAAAAAGAAAAAATGATATATATTTTCATCAGAAAAATAATTTTATTGATATATATGCAGATTATTAAGAGCTACTCATATTCTGAACCAGATGTAGTAAGTTAATTATATTTGGAAACAGATTACTTCCTATTTTTAAAAATTGATAAGAATAAGAATTGTATTTAATTTTTAGAATAAACCATCCAATATTACATAAATTTTTAAAAAGTGACTTATATTTTTGAAATAATTTTTTTAAATATGACTTATATATAACGGATCCAGCTTCAATTAATAATCATGCATTATGAAGTAGTTTATATAAAAACCAATGATTGCACTTAACATATCATAAAATGCCTTGATACTAAAATATAAGATTTTCTGAAAAGGGGAGTATTTAGAAAGCTCTCCTAAGAAAGAAACATTAATATCAACATGAAAGTTGCACTGGCCAAAAAAAAAAATGTCCACCAATATTCTTTCCAATCCTATTTATAAAATATGTAGAGGTTGGTTCATTTTATAAAGCACTGATAAACAATTATTATTCTTTTCACATTTTCTTCCTATTCAATACATTACTTCTATTTGTCGTTCGATGATGGATTTAATATATACATATAAAAAAATTAAAAATTTTGTTAATTTTTAAATATAATTATTGTGTTTTCAAGGCATCCTTAATTGCAGTAAAAATATTGAAAAATTTTATAAATAAGATTAGAAGAATAATTTATCATACGCAGTTATATAAATATTCATCAAACTATGAAATATAACATCACCAAGTAAATTTTTAAGGGAGGAAAGAGATCCATGCTTACTGTTTTTGTTGAGTTTTGCTCTCAACTGATACACTTGCCAGTTGCCACTTTCCTTTTTTTTAAAAAAAAGAAGAAAATAAGTGGTTTAATTAAGTCATTTAATTTTATTTAGAAATTAAAAAATAAAGTAGTAATAGAAAAAGAGAAGACAAAGTAATTTGTCTTGTACTTTTAATTAATTATATATAACATTTAAATGAGGCTTTGAGATTAGAGCGAGGAAGGTGCCATGGGGTGAGCTTAGATGTCAGCACATGGTTTCTCTCCTTCCAAGCTCTTGGAGGCAAGGGCAAAGCATAAACAAATAATGCAGAAAGTTTTTTTTTAAAAGAAAAGAAAAAAGAAAAAGAACCAGAGTTAAGGTTTTTTGGGAATCAGCTGCTGCATATAAAACCACCTAATTTGGGGCCAATAGGTCCCTTGGGAACTGTAATTAGTCCTTTCATTTAAAGCAGCTTAATTATTACTCCATCTTTATAAAAAAATATAAGATATTTTTTAAAAATTGAGTGTTAAAAAATGTAAAGTATTTTTAATTTTTTAATGTGTAATCATTATTTTTTTAAAAAAATATCTTTATTAATAATAACTTTATATTTATTGTAAGGTATTTAATAGAAATAAATATAAAAAATAAAGTTAGTTGAAAAGTAGGTACCTACTTTATTAGGGGGTGAGATTCATTTAAAAATACCTTACATTTTTTAACGAAGGGAGTACATGTTAAAAATTAATAATTTAATTTATTTTAAATTTATTGCATTCTCCCACCACAAGAACTTTTTATTTAATTTTTTTTACTATTTTTATTTTAAATTATAAGACATTTTTAAATAAAATTTTATATACCAAGAAATTTTATTAAATATACTTAATAATTTTATTTTTTGAAATAAAAATATCAACTATAAAAAATATCATTCATTTAATAATATTAAATATACTCTTACTTAATATATTAAATATAGAGAAAAAAGTGTAATATTTGAAATAAGCTTTTTTAATGAAACTTTAAATTCTCAATATGTTTTATATTTTGGGACATCAAATCTTTTTCAAGAGTGTCTAATAATTTGGGAGAAAGAAAGTATTATTTTAAAAATATTTTTCAGAATTTTAAAAATTTATTAATTATTTTTATTGTTTTAATGAAAATATTATTAAATTTTACTACAATTTAAAGTATAATTAATTTTTTGTATGTATTATAAATAGTCAATACACCTAAAATGACACCTTTTTTTTTAACCAAAGTATAGTTTATATTTAATAATCTTGGTATTTTTGAATTAGTTAAACGTAATATTTATCTTTCATGGAAAAATCAAATTGCCATCTAATTCAAAAAAGAATAGATAATTTTCTCTATAGAATGAACCTTTTTTCCGTTGGGGGGGGGGGGAATTCTTGTATTGCATTTTTGGGGCCAATAGGGCACTTGGGAACTGTGATTGTCTCATGACTCATGACAACATTAAATCAAATCATCTTAAAAAATGAAGAAAAAGCTTCCTTCTGGCTTCTACAAACCCTAAATCTCGACTCAGATCCACTCTTTTACATAGCCTTCGTCATATTCCTTGTTGTACTTCTAACTTCATTCTCCTGATGAAGTTCCAATGTTAAATTAAGCGACGCGTGCTTTTGATCAGTTTCATTCCGACGATATATATTTATATTCTCACACACACACAAACACACTAACTTTTAGGGTAGCTAGCTAGGTCTAGCAGACTAATAATAGGCTTTGTGTGATTTATGAAGTGGGAAAGCAAAGAACTGCCAGAAAATCAAATGCTTCCTAGTTTTCTGTGCATCTTCTTCAAGATTATTCCATCACCATGGATCTTCTTCGTTCTACCTGCTGCTGCCTGTGTCTCACTTTTAGCCACCTATCTTGTTCTTGGTTTTGGTTTCTTATCTGTTTTATTTCTCTACACATCTCTCGCAGTTCTTGTCTCTACCATTTTCTTCAGTCTTATTACTGCATCGAATCATCACAAAACAGTCTCTGTTGTTGGTGATGAGTTAGTGGAAGGCTCAGATCAAAGAGAAGATGTTGCAGAAGCAAAGGAAGAAGAAGAAGAAAAAGAAAAAGAGCATAATGATGGTGGCGGCATAGAAAAAGCTGCTTATTACGGGGAGGAAAGCTCAGATCAAAGAGAAGATATCGCAGAATCAAGGGAGGAGGAGGAGGAGGAGGAGGAGGAAGAAATGGAGGATGGTGATGATAATGGTGTTGGTGTAAATAATAGTAATAACTACTCAACCATATTACCAGATTCACTGTCAAATAGTGAATCTCATGAGATGTCAACTACTTCTGAGGAATCTGATGAACTGGTGGAGTATTATTGGCCATTAGATCGAAGCATGGACGGATCAGATGGGACGATTTCTGATGAAGAAAGCCTCATAGAAATTACACTTCCAAGTGGGCACTGCAGTCTGAAGCAGCATCATCATCAACAACAACAACAACAACAACAACACAGTCTGATGATGATGGAGTTGTTATCAGAATACCACAATGTCGACATGAACGAGGAAGACAACTTGATAGAAATCGACATATCAATGGGATCCATTAAGTCCTGCTACTCAAGGTTTGAAATACAAGCATGAAACTAATTAACAACTCTATATCTTTAATTACCCATTTTCACTTTTTTGATCCACACCTTAATATTCTGTATATATCCGGTGGGATTTGAGAATATATATTAAAACTGGTACTATGTTTTTTTTTCCCTCTTTCCCTTCATATGTTGTGTTATAAAGTGTTAATGTGCAGTGAGAATCTTCTTTCTCAGGCTTTGGATACCCATTAAAGAGTTTCTTAGTAAGTGTATTACGAAATCATGACTCTTTCTTTTTGACTTCCTTGTGCACGTTAAAGTAATAAAAGTAAAGGGAAAGCTGTGCCCATCTGTTTGAATATATTTCCACTGTTTCTTTTTCATCAGAATATTCTGATTATATAATGTGGGGAAATCTTTGTGCATTAAGATATTCTATCTAATGCTTTTGGTCTCGGAAGCTATTCTGTAGTCGGTGGGGTTCAGATTTTACAGCCATAATGGCTGGTTCCATTGACTGAATGAGTTTCATGAGTGGCTTCAGAAAATTGTATGGTGCTGCAGACAATTGAGATCTTTAACATATACTCCCTCCCATATTATTTAAAAGGAGGAGAGAGAAATTTTTTTATCTCATTTACAAATCGCGGTGTTAAATTTTTTTTATAAAATATTTTCTCTTTTATAATATATGTTAATGTTGGTAGGAATTTATATATTATTAAAGCATGAATATTTAATAAGGTGTATAAAATTAGGAACATATTAAATTTATAGATAACATTAATGAATTTTAATATTTTTCTTGATTTTAATGAATTGTCAGTAGCGGCTCGGATTTGTCTTTCTCAATATACACATCTCTTTGTGTATGTGGGGGAGAGAGTGCCTGTGTGTATATCAAAGAATTAGAGATAAATGGACTCGGTAATAAATCTCATTCAACAAATATGGCCGTCACTCTACGCCTATTTCTTTTCAATTGCAAAGACTACATGGTTGCACCGGAGAATTTTGGTAATTAGTTAAAACCTATTTTTCAAACTCCTCGCTGTATAAAATTGGCCACAACGCATTTGTAATTTTTTTTTAATAAAAAGTCAAGGATATCTATATGTATGTGCAACAAAAAGATCACATATGCAATACAAATATTTAGCCTAAGAGAGAAACTAAAGACCCAAAAAAAAGAAAGTTATCTCTTTTGCTCAAAAAAAAGAAAAAGAAAGTTATCTCAGGCATCATTGAAGGCAATGGGATGAAAGTTTCATGAATTATCGCAATGAAACGTGCTAGAGAGGACTAGTTGAAAGAACTTTTTCCCTGAAGCTGATAGAACAAGATTCCTAAACTAGGAAGAGCAAGATTAGAGTGAAAAATATTAACCCACCATTGAGAGGACATAAAGGAGACAGAACTTATTAGTGTTCCTAAAGGTTTTCCTGACAGCAAAACCATTGAGAAATTGGCTTTTGAAAAAAAAAAAAAAAACAATGATTTGACAACCGATGGAATTTCCCTTTTTGATTTTCTTAAAACCAATGATCTAGTCTGCTGGTAGTGGATAACGGGTCAGTAAGGAACACTGACATGAAGATGAAGCTACCCTTCTTTAAGATGTAAATGTTCAGCCCAACTGCAGCCCAACTTGGCTGCTAAAAGCTCTAGAGGTAACCGGTGTGCTTTGGTAAATACCCTGATGAGCAAGCAAGTTTCTTGACAGCTGCCAAATGGGGTTCAAAATACATAATCAGATCATACCTATGATATTGCAGGAATATAAGAATTGAAGTGAACTCAATAACCAGTTTATATATGAGTCCAATATGGGAAAAGGAAGAAATCCTGATGTTTAGACATTCAAACCAAAGGGATCTGGCCAGATCACAAAAAGAAAAAAATATGGTCGATGCGTTCCTCAGTAGCACAACCAAAAGGGCATAAAGAATTATTTGAAAGATGATGAGACATCTTTAATTGGAATTACCCGATGAATCAGTTTCCATGTAAATAAAATGAATCTCATAGGTAATTTTAATTTCCAGGGGAAACTCCACAAAAAATTCTGAGATAAAGGGTGTTGAGATATATTGGACAAAGTTAAGGGTTCAAAACCTAGTTTAGCTGTGTATTCCCCAGTGGATGAACCAGTCCAAACAAATTTGTCCTTTTGAGGTGAAAGATGAAGTGAAATACTTAAAATAGAATCTGAAAATGGACGGCTATAAATGGAACATATCAGCTGCTGATTCCACTGCAAAGTCGTATCATCATGTGTGGGAGGTAAAAGTAGATCTTTAACCGTCATGGTATTAATGTCAGCATAATTGTGAGGTTTGTTAATCTGAAACCGGAGAGGATTTTTAACTGATATATAATTGAACTAGAACCCACATTCCATTTGAGTTTGGAAACCAAAAGATCAGCACCAGATAAAATTTCTTTCCAAAACCTGGACGAATTATAAGGCTTTTTTCGCAATTTAAGAGAGAGGAATTCATATTTACATACTTAACTTTGAGAGTGCTTGCCAAATTTGAGTTAGAATCAGTATCAATAATTCGCCATAGCATCTTAGTAATGAGTGGCTTGTTAACTAATGAGGTAGGTCTTGGTCTTAGACCACCTTGACTAGTTAGTGAAAACAAAGGATTTTTATTCTTGAGGTGCAATCTTCTTCTTCTTCTTTTGTCATCACTATCTCCCAAAAAAAAAAAATTGACACATGCTGAACCAATTGCCTTGCAGACACAAGTAAGCAACTTACACAGGATAAGACCCAGATGTTCGATGCTGAGAGAACATATTTTATCATCTGTAATCTAGATGCTTGAGAAATTAGCTTACCTCTCCAACTATTGATCCTACTTTTAACAGAGTTCAGGACTTGAGAATAAATCAAATATTTATTTCCCTGTAAAGCCCCCAAATTCGCAAGTATTTGCCCAAAGCTTTTGAAACAGAGACTAATAACAAATTAGCAAGAGCAATTGTCCGCATTTGCAACATTGGGACTTCAAACGAGGAACGCAGGAGCAGAGTTAGCAAATTTTATTAAGAGGGTCAAAATAACAAAACATATGTGATAATTGAAGAAAAATTAAATATGTTATATATATATATATATTACTAACATAACATAAATATTTTAATGTATATATTTATATTCAATTTTACAAATATATAACAAAAATAAATATATAAATTTATCTTTTAAGTTTTACTCATCAATTTTTCATGGTATAAAAATAATTAATTATTATGTCTATAATAAAATTTTTTGGCAATTTCTTTCTCGATATAAAATATCATTAAATTGAAAAAATTTCACCTTCCCCATGAGCACTGAATGATTTAAATGCATTTTTTGGATCTAAAATTTTGTTCAATATAAAAAACTCTATTAATTGCTTACTGAATTTACTATTCAATTCTTTCAATTAATAATTATACTAAATAAATATATCAATATGGTAATGATATTCAATTGTCACAAATTCTTTTTTGTAATAAATTTCAATAGCTTAGTTATTATAAAAAACCATAACAAATTCTTTAGATCTAAGTATATCATACTAAAAATCATTCAAGTAATAAATTTGAATAGCTTAGTTATTATAAAAAAATAATTTTTTAAAAGAATATATCTTAACCATAATCCCTAAACTTTTGTGTAAGTAATTTTATAGTAAATATCAAGCATATAGTATTCAATATATCTTGAGATTTTTATTACAGTGCTAAGAATTCTCATAATTTCTTTTGTTAAATATAAAATAAAATTGAAATCAAATAGCATCAATGCTTTAAGCAAGTGTATCATTATTATGTTAAAAATAAATGAATCCTATGATTATTGTATCTTCAAACTATTAAAATAGTTAGACTATACATGTATAAAAGACCACATATATAATTGAAATGAAAATTTCATCTACTATCTCAAACCTTCTATAATATGTCAACTAGGGGAGTTGAAAATATATAACTTCTATATTTTATTAAGAAAAAATTAAAAAAAAATTGGGGAAAAAAATTAAAAAGTTAGGAGCAATAACCCCTACCGGTATCTCCTATATTTTGAATATTATAAAGTTGTATTTTCTCAATAAACTAGATTTTTCTCCCATGTGATCTACGAAAATATTAAATTTAAATAGTTTTTTTATGATGTGTTATTTCCACATATATTGTTATGCTTGTAAATTAAAAATATCAAAAAATATGTTGACTCATAAATATTAAACATTTAAACAATATATTTTAAGATAAAGATACACTTTTGCCATCGAACTATTCTTTGAAAAGCACCCAATGTCTTAAATTATTTATCATACAATTTTCGCCCCTAAAATAGATAAAACATAGCATATTTCCCCTTGACATTGAGTACCCCCAATGTTGATCATTTAAAAGGCTGATCAGGATTTAAGTTTTTCCAAAAATGTGACCTATCTTGCTAGGTGGGTTTGGAAATGTGCTACATTTTAATTATTTGGTGGCAAAATTACTATACGACAAATAATTTGAGACACTAGCTATTCCTCATATTGTAGTTCAGAGGCAAAAATAAATTTTAACTCAAATTCACCTAGCCCAACATGTGGCTTTTTTGATCAAACTAATTAAGTCTCAATATGCATTTTTAATGGTCAATGTTGGGGTATTTAATGTTGGGAGAAAATATGTAATGTTTTAATTATTTTAGGGGAGAAATTCCTATGACAAATAGTTTAGGATACTAAGTGTTCATCGATGAATAGTTCATGGGAAAAAATACACTTTAACCCTATATTTTATTGCTCATGTTCATTGTGTATTAGAATTTATTTTGATTATAAAAAAGAATTTATTTTAATTTTTTTAATTTTTTTAATTTGTTACATGTAACACCCTAAATTTTGGACCCAAAAGATCAAGAATATGATTGAATTCATTAAGCTACTAAGCCCATATATTCAATTAGGAGTCCCAAAGGTGCTCTAAAAAGATCTAATTTAGAATAAAATCTTAAGTTATGATTTTTATAGAAAATAGAAATGATGATGATGATGATGATGATGATGATAAGATTAATAATAATAATATTATTATTATATAAAAAAGAACAAGGGATGGGAGACGGACGTTGGTAGGGGAGAGCATCGGTTAATATGGTTCGGTTCAGTTGTGATTAAAGAAAATGAAAAACCAAAATTTAACAATTTTTTGAATTGAACTGAATCGAAGTTTTTAAAAAACCAAACTGAAACTAAACTTAAATTTAATGGTTCGATTTGATTATTTATTTTGATTATTGGGCCTTTTTGTCAACACATTAGGCCTTGTTTATCAACAAATTGGGCTTGTCTCTAAAAAA